CAACAAAAGGCCAAAAAGCACAAAAGCACATGAAAAGATGCTCAACATCATTCGTCATTAAGGAGATGCAAATTAGAACCTCAGTGAGATAATGCTTCACACCTACTGCGATGGCCATAAAAAATGGAAAATAAGTGCTTATAAGAATGTGAGGAAACTGGAACCTTTGTACATAACTGGTGGGAATGTAAAATGGTGCAGATGCTGTGGAAAACAGTTTGGGAGTTTCTCAGAAAGTTAAACAGAGAATTACAGGACCCAGCAATTCCACTGTTTAAGTGCATACCCAAAATAATTGAAAGCAGGGACTCAGATATTTGTACACCAATGGTGTCCACAGAAGGGTCCACAGAAGCATTATTATTCACAACCAAAGCATTACTCTAACCAAAAGGTAGAAAGAATCCAAGTGTTCATCAACATAAGAATGAATAAACACTGGTGGTATATCCATAAAATGGAATATTCGGCCATAAAAAGGAATGAAGTATTGCTATATTTTACATGTACAAACCTTAAAGACATTATGTTAAGTGAAATATGCCAGACAAAAAAAAGATGAAAATTTTACAAGTCCCCTTTATGAGACAGAAAATAGAATAAAGTTACCAGGGGTTAGGAGGACAAGGAAATGGGGAGTTATTGCTGAATGGGTGGGTGTAGTGTTTGTTTGGAATGAAAGAGTTCCGAAAACAGATGATGATTACACAATTCTTTAAATGAACTTAAGGCCAATGAATTGTACACTTGAAAATGGTAAAATGGTAAATTTCACTATGTATATTTTGCCACAATTAAAAAACTAGGGTGTTGTCTTGCATAGTGACTTCTCCAAAATAGCACCAGGGGCCCTAGAGGACTGGGAGTCTGGGGAAGCTGCCCCCACTTGGGCCTGAGTATGCCTCCCTCAAAAATGTGCAGTCCTGGAGGCAGTCTGGTGGCCAAAAGAGGGAACCTGAAGGTGACTGTGAGTTCAAGACAGTTTCAGAAGTGGTGGCCATGTGACTGTGATGTTAGAGGGTTTTAATTGCTCCTGAATTCCCGTGCTCACTTCTCACCCATGGGGCGCCTGGGTTTAATTACTGTCTTGGGTCACACATGCAAGAGAGTCTGACGTCATTCCTGGTCTCTGCGGACAGGAGCCCTGATCACCAGGCCTTCACGCTTTGCAGCAAGATGGGCAGGAAGAAGCAGGGCTGCCGTGGGCCACACTGGCCTCTCTTTAGAGCCTACGGGAAGGATGAGAGCAGGCCTGAAGGTGGGGCCTGCCTGTCCTGTTTCTGGGCCTGCAGGAGCCGATGTGTTCACGGTTGCATCTGGGGAGCCCTCGGCTCCTTCAGGCACCCGGAGATCAGCTGCCAATGGCAGAGAAGCCCTGGAGGACCTGAACTCACAGAATCCCTAGGGATAAAGGATTTTCACAGAAAAGGGAAGAGCTGGGAAGATAGCAGCTTGCAGAAGAGACCTGGACCAGGGGTTGGTTCAGAAGCCGCAGAGGGCTGGGCAGGTAGGGGAACTGCAGCTGCCATCAGAGGTGAGTGGCCAACACTGCCTTCTAGGAATGCAGGCCCGGTGGTCAATTCCTAATCCATTAGAACTCAAAAATTGGAATTCTTACAGAAAATGTTTTTTAAATGTTGACAGAACTTTTAAAACAAATTAGGTTGCCTGGATGAGGGGTGGGGTTGTGGGGGTGCTGGTAACTCAAGTGGATTGGTGAAAACACATCAAACTGAACACTTGGAACGGGCCCCATTACTGAAGGCTACACGTACTCAATAAGGTGGCGAAGCTGCAGGCTGGCGGGTGCGTGGCAGTGCTTCCCTGGCTGCTGCAAGCCTTCCATTGCTCTCTCCCTCTAGTTTAGTCACGACCACAGGTGCTTTATCTGCTCTAAAGACCTTTCTCCCTTTTCCCTATGCCCTGCACTTCTTAGGTAAGCCTGTGAGCAGTGCATTCACTTGGATGTTCACTCTGTGAAATAACCCACAGGCAGTGGTCATGGTCATGGAACTCACAGTCAGGGGGCAGGCTCCTGTCCTGGCCTTTCTCCAACATGGTGCAGCTGTCTGGACTGTTGGCAGCAGTCAGCTGCCATCTTCCAGCCTTGTCTGCATCCATTAAAAATTAGCAGGCTGCAGGTTTCCAGGGAAATGTGGCTGCTTCCCACTGTCCCCCTAAAAGCCTGGCATTCTGGCCCTGCCCGGACATCACCAACCCTGCGACCCAGATACTGTGCACCAGGGTTCTCAGGCTCAGCAGCACAAGTCCGCCGGAAAACTTACAGCTCCTCATGCTTTGGGTGCCACCCTGGGATTCATTTACTTGGTCTGGGAAGTGGGAGCTTTAAACCCTTACCAGATGATTCTAATATGTGGCCAAAATTGAGAAGCACATGGCTTCAAACTTTCAATTGATTTTTGTTCTAATATTGAAGGTGTGGGAATTTGGAGGTTGGAAGACTACAGATGAAATACATGTTTTGTAGAAAATAATTTGTAATATGGAGCTAAATTTTTAAGAAGATAGAAAACATAATGCAAACTCAGAGACCACCAACTACTGCTAACATCCCTCTAACCCCTGCAGCTCCTCCAAGTCTGGGGACCAAGAGGTGTTTAACATCACAGGCTGTCAAGCCCAGGACTTCCTGGAAACGTTAAATGGTGCCTGTCCTGCTCTAGACAGGGACCCCAGGAAAAGATCTGGTCTGCAGTTCTTTCAGGCTTATGTCTGCCAATGTCAGGAAAGGACTTCATTTCTGCTGGGTTAGTTGTCAACTGTCCTTTCCCTGGGGACTGTGTGCTTGGGGGCAGCCCCAGAAGCTTCCTTATAGGGGTTGGTGAGCAGATCTGGAAGGGCTCCTACCCATAATTGCCCTTCCACCCGAGTGTCTTGCTTGACGATTTCAGCCCTGGACATGTCCGCTATGGATTGAGACCAAGAAGTGTCAACAGAATGTTCTTACTTGTTTATACCCACCTTTATTCTCATGGCAGTAGGTCGAGCACTAGGATCCTGTTTACAGCCAGTCTGTAGATCCGAAATCCACCTATGTGTCCCGCCCAGAGCACTGGGCAGAGCTCTTTATAGTGACTCAGTCAGTAGCTCATTGCCTACGGCTGTAGAAGCCACAGCCTAGCAGTAAGCAAATTACATCAAATACTTTAGGGTCACGTGAGGATCCTGGCCATAGGAACTTTCATTTTCCCCAGTGATACATGCCTGTATCTGCCAGCCACTGTTTTAAAATTAGTGTCAGCAATGTGGATATTAAACCGAATTTTAAAAATACTAACGCTAACTTACCACTTAAAGTCGGTGTAAACACAGATGAGTTTCAGTAAGACTGTTACACCCAGCTTGATGATTCAGATTCCTCCAGAATCAATTTTCAGATAGAAACCAGTTATTAAAACCTCATTTTGGGTGCATGTACCATGTTAGATGGAAATAGGACTTTGTTATTTGGAGTAAATATGGGTTAAGATGTGTATGGCTGCTGAGGCAACAGGGGATGACGGTTTGTGGTGCATCAACTTGACTAGAATTCTATAGTCTATGAATCTAGGTATTACTGTGAAGCTGTATTGCCACTAATTAAGTATCATTAAAGCCGCTCATCAGTTGACTTTAAATAGGAATTATCCTCGAACACCTGGGTGGGCCCAACTTCATCAACTGGAAGGTCTTAAGAGCAAGGCTTGAGGTTTCCCCAGAAACCCTGTGCCCAGTCCTGTCCTGGTCATCTTCCCTCTGACCGCTCTAGGGATCTTGGATCTGGTTTAGACCTGCTCCTCAGAGAAGCCAATTCCTCGCGATAAAATCTCCTAATATACACCTACTGGCTCTACTTCTTGGGTTAAGGACTGATAAAGAGAAAAGCAATGAACAAAAATGTTCACAAAGGGGCCTCTCAGACCCCTGTGGCCAGGTGTTAAAACCGCTCAAGAGACTCAGATCGAATTACCTTAGGAGAAGAAAAAGCAAATGCTAGTAAAGCATCAGACCACTTCGTAGGTCAGAGAGCAACCGGCAGCTCACCTCTTGCTTTTCAATGAACGCAGTGCCCGCATCTGGGCTTGCACCTAGTGGGTGGCAACAGGGCCAAAGGCACTACGGTTGGAACTGTCAGTAAATATGGGGCCTGTTATGGGGCCTCCCTCAGGAAAATGGGGAGGACAAGTGAAATAACCAGCACACCACATACACTGGCTCCTTCTGTGGCAAAGCCAAGATGAGCTGAGCTGCGGGGATCCAGCTGTGGTTCCTGCACAAAAGTGCACCTGCAGAACCACGTCTGCAGACACCAGACTGAGGGACCTGAAAGACCAGAACCACCACATGAATCATCGCTGGACAATAAACAGGTTAATTATGTAACCAAAATAAAAACACCCTCCCAGCTCCTTTCTCTAAGTGGACTTTCTGTAGTGATTCTACCTGCCCTGCCCAACACAGGGGCATTGCTGGGAGCACCTGGAAGGTTGGGGAAAATAAGGAATGGAATTAATTCTAATCTGTCTACATAAAGCTCCAGGCCCCTCCAGATGCCCTCCTACCTCAACAGAGCTGCCTTTTAATCACCTGCTTACTGCTTCCCCTGGGGACAGAAAGTCTACATGCTAGCTTGCTGCGGATGGTTTGCTCTATTCTGACAGCCCCTCTTGCTCCCACAATTATGTGGTCACATGACTGAGACGCCAGGCTCCCTGTAATAGCTCTGCATTTGCATTTTCTCCCCGACAAGACATCTCAACTTAAAGTCATGCCAACTCCTGGCACTGACCCATCTTCGTGCAAGGGACATGGCACCCCTGCTCCTCACCGTTGCCCAGACTGCCCTTCCCAGACATAGCAGTATCCCCACCTCGTCCCTTTTTGCTATGACACATAACCTTTAGCTCTTGCAGGCCTGTACCCTAACTACAATGCTCTACGCACACTCTACACATGCGGATGGTCAGACCCACAGACTGTACACATGTGCACACAGAAAATTCCTACGGATCATTGAGGCCTTTTTATTTTGCACACAAAAACCACTGGGGACCTTGCCTGTGGACACCTTGGAGATAACAGCGCGAGACACACGGCCCTGGACACTTGGTGGGAAGCAAGGTGGGGAATAATGCTCTGGGCCAATCACATGATTACAGAGCTAGGGTTTCCGGCAGTCGAGCGTGGCTTCTGCAGCAGTTCTAAGGAAGCAGTGAGGTCACAGGGAGGGGGCGGGCCAACAACTACTGGAGGCCCGAGAGGATCGGTTGGGGGCCTCAAGCTGCCCACGTGGACATCAGGAGCACAGGTCTAATAGGCCAACTAGGGACTGCAGGGCTCAGGGGCTCACTGCCCAGAGCTCACTTGGCAAGCGGGTTTCTGAAGCTCCTGCCGGCAAACTTAGCCTTGCTGCCCAGCTCCTCTTCAATTCTGGGGAAGAAAGGTGGGGAGGGGGAGGGAAAAAGAAGTCAAATCCTGACTCCTGCGGCCCCGTTTCCCCCCGAGATGAGGCCAAGGCCACACCTCCTCCAAATTGAGAGCCCAGCACCTGCCCACCTTATTCTCCGACCCTCTGAATGTGAGCTCCTCACAGACAGGCACAGAAGAGCGCCCAGTTCTCCTCACCCGCCCAGCTGTCCACCTGCTGCCCCCTGGCCCCAACCCATGCTTCTGAAGGACAGAGTGCAGGAAATGTCAAGATGCTGATTCTTGAAAGATAAACCAAAACCCCCAAACTTTGTAAATAAAAGGACAGCCTAATTTCAACAACTAAGTGGTGTGGGGAGAAAGGAGGGAACCTGTTACTGTGAACTCTAGATCCTGATGTCAAAATGAAGGAAGGAAGGGCTGAAGCAAGTGCCTGGGACAAGCAGGAGAGATGGAATAAACAGCCTTGGTATTATTATCACAGAATTACTACTCATCTTGGGCACTATCGTGGTAGAGTGGTTCTGTTAAAAAATACAAGGAAACTGAAAGACATATACACAAAGGTATTTATAGGTGACATCACTATATGACTGGAATCCGCTTTAACATTCTCCAGCTAACAAAAAGTGCGGTGTAAAGGGTCAACCCATGCAGGAGTATCAACAACTTCTATCTGGGTGACAGGGAAAGGGCACGTGTCCTACTCTTCACTGTTTTTATGTGCTTGAAATGTCCCAGGATAAAATGTGCAGGGACCATGTGGGAGGACTTACGAATGCACACTCCCTTCCCCAAGACAGAAGAAAGGACCAAGTACCCTTGCCTTCCCCCACCTGCCTGGATGCCTGAGCTTCCCAACAACACCCTGAGACAGAAGGGGGACCAGGATAACCAACGACACCCTGCTGCTGGGCTCTGGCTATTTCCTTCCTTCTCTGAGCCCCTCGTTTTCTTATCAACAAGGAAAATTAGACAATAACAAAGGCTTCCCTGCAGCTTTAAAAAAGTTATGATTAAATTGTCCAAGGGGAAGCCTGTCCCCTCTCCCACCATTAGATGGCAGCACTGTGTAGTGTGGGCCCCGTGTTGGGGGCAACACTGCAGGGAGCCTTGGTTGGGCTCTCTGGCCACTTCTCCCAACCTAACATGCTTAGGCCAGGGACCCCCCAGCCCCTGCCCCCAAGCCAGGAGCTCCCGGTGGAGGGCAGTGCCCACACCCAGTGCAGGCATCCTCTTTACCTGAGGATCTGGTTGTACTTGGCCAAGCGCTCGGATCGGCAAGGTGCACCTGTCTTGATCTGGAAGAAAACAGAGGCCGAGTTTGCTTGTTGTGGACACCCAATCTCTGTGGGCATCTTGGGAAGGACTGGGTGCCACAGGGAGAGACAATTTCTTCAGGAGGGTCTCTGACCTTAGGAGGGAGGGGAACAAAGGACCCCAACTTGACCCTGTCCCTCTGGGTTCTATGGTCAGGAACCTGAGGTCAGTGGGAAGGACCACTTCCCACCCCATGGAGTGCTTACCTGCCCAGTGCACAGCCCCACCACCAGGTCGGCGATGAAGGTGTCTTCGGTCTCCCCGGAGCGATGCGACACCATGACGCCCCACCCGTTGGACTGGGCCAGCTTACACCTGCAAGCCAGGAGGCGACCCAGGGTTGTGATCACATTTTCCGGGCCCGACGACCGTGGCCGCCCTGCTGGCACCCTGGCCCAGCATCCCCAGCAGGAGCTGAAGACAGCTGTCAAGCATTTAGACAATACAGCTCCACCCACCCTCTGAACTCCATGGTCCGAGGACCTTCTCATCAGCCCTCCAGTGTGTGGAGACCTGGCTCAGCCGCCTCGGGGGACAGAGGCTTGTCTCCTGACAGTGCCTGACTGACATGTCCTCGTGAAATTAAATCACGAGTCTGGGGCCATAAAGGGGTAGGATTAGGCCACAAGTGCCCAATGCCCTAGGCCCCCTGGTGTCATCACTTACTTTAAAGGCCACCTGGAGTACAAACTTGAAACCCCATGACAGTTCGTCAGAAGGGCTCCCCGCAACCAAGGAGCTGCTGCTCAGACGCGGTCCCCGCACTGAGAGCCGCCTGCCGAGGGCACTCACGCCTGGAGAGACTCGGTCACAGAGCCGATCTGGTTCACTTTGAGCAGGAGGCAGTTGCACGACTTCTCGCCCACAGCTTTGGAAATCCTCTTCGGGTTGGTCACCGTGAGATCATCGCCCACCACCTGGATCCCTGCACTGGCAGTGAACTTCTGCCAGGCCTCCCAGTCATCCTGGTCGAAGGGGTCTTCAATAGACACCACTGAGGGGAGAGGAGCACCACGGTTCATCAGGGCAACCCTCCTGTCTGCTGGGTGGCACGTCCCCTGCCTGGCCTCACCCTCACATATGGGACTGCAATGGCTCCTCGACTGATGTCATGGAAACACTCGGCTGTACCAACCTACTCCTGTGACTGGGCATGACTGTCACCTGTGATCTTGAGACCCTGCAGTCACTAAGCAGGAAACTGACCTGCTCAGGGTGGTTTGCATTTAGTGCCACCAAGAACAGGAACAGAGCTGTGGATGCAGAGGGTGAAGCCCTGGGTTTGCGTCTTGGCTCCTTGAGAAAGTTAGGTACCCTGGTGGTTAGACGGAGGGACGCAGTCAAGACCTCCTGCTCTACCGGGTTTACTGAGTGCCACTGGGCAAGGTACCAGCCCAGCCCGTGCCACAGCTTCCCCTCCTGCTAGGGGGTATTAGCAGTCCCTACTCTGTTTGTTAAGTGGTGTGCAGAACCCAGAGCCCAGCTCACAGGAGGCGGAACACACTGGCACTTCTGGTTCTCAAGGCTGGCTTCCCCACCGTCCTCACAGAGCCAAGACTGCGTTTGCCCAGGAGGCTGTTGTGATAGTGACAGAAGGTGATCACATTTTGCAAATGACTCATCACACAAAGCCAGAGCTGGCTGGCCCTGACAAACCATCTCCTGGCCCCTCTGCTGCACCAAGGCCCTGTGTGAAGCCCCTGTAGGATGTCTGCACCTGAGCCTGAAAAGCCCCTGGCAGGGGGCGTGTGTGGCCTATGCCCCGCACCCACCCTCACGGCTGCAGTCATCACCGGCCAGCCGTGTGCAGCAGCTGCCCTCATGCATGTCAGCCGCTGGAGAAGGGGCCCCTCCGGGAGCGCTCACCTGGGTAGTCCTTGATGAAGGACTTGTACAGGTTGCCCAGCTCATCAGGTGTGATGTACCTCCTGGGGTCATCAGGGGACTTGAAGTCCAGGTCATACTTCCCTGACCTGAAGAATTCAGAGGCAGCGACATCCATGCCAATGACAACCTTATCGGTGTAGCCAGCTTTCCCGATGGCATTCTTCAGCAGCTCCAGGGCTGGAAAAAGATGACAGCAAGTTTGGAAACCACAAAGGGAGAGAGAAACTTCCCTTTAACAGTTGCCAAATGGGAACCACACATAACAGAAAGACCAAGAGGCGCTCTGGCCCCACCACCTGTGCCAACAGTAACACTTCTCTCTACTCTGGGGCAAGAAACCATTGCTCAGGGCCCTAGTAAGTCAACAAAGGGGAATTCAGTCTTGACTCTAAGAGGCCTTCTCACTGACAAATGCTCCCACATTTAGCAGCAGGAACAGCTGCGCTGGCCAAAATACAGTCACAGTGACCAGCTGGATCAGCGGTCCTGAGGAACAGGCTTTCAGGAGGGCCTGTTCTAGGCTGGGATCCAAGAGGGAGCCCTGGACGGCAAGGCCCTGCCTCCAGGCCAAGGGTCGGGGTCTGTCTCACCAAGACACTTGGCTCCTGTTTTACACCAAAGATCCCTAAGCTCTGAGGTTAAATTCTGTGAAAGGGCCGTTTCTGGTGGGTCAAAATGTCAGAACAGCAGCAATTCCACACAGTTGACACAAAGAGTAGGATGGATATTTCCTTTCACTCATTGCCCTTGAAGGCAACAAAATGTTTCCTTCTAGAACACCAACTCAGCTGTGATTTCTTGTCCCCAGGCTTTCCATGCCCTCTACTCAATTCTCACATTTAACTCTGGGCCTAAGATTCAAAAGCAAAACCAAGCTGTGTAAGCACTACTGTGGATGAATGACTAAATCAGTTTTGGTCACAGTCCTGAACAAACGGCATCTCTGAGCAGAGATTTCAAACCTTTGCCACTGCAAGATGAAGAATGCAAGAGGAATACACTGCCTCCCTAGGCCCCACCATCCAGCCTAAATTTAATTATCAAGCCATTCAGAGGTCAAATAAATAATGAAATTCCTTGTTATCTTAAAGAAAAAAAACACAAAGACCCGGCTCGCATATCCCCTCCCAGAACTTGCTTGCTGTGTTTTGCACTTTAACACTTGAATGGAAGGTGTCAAGAACCATGGTTCCCGAGCAGCAGGTGTGGCTGACCCGCCAACAGAGTGGGGTGCAGTGTGGCACACTGTGGGGATTCCCGTACACCTTTACCTTCTTTATTTTCCAGGATGTTGGGTGCAAACCCGCCTTCATCCCCCACATTGGTGGCATCTTTTCCGTATTTCTCCTTGATGACATTCTTCAGGTTATGGTAAACCTCTGCTCCAATGCGCATGGCTTCCCTAAAGTTCGCTGCACCAACAGGCAGGATCATGAACTCCTGCATGGCCAGCTTGTTGCCAGCGTGAGAACCACCGTTGATGACATTGAAAGCCTAGGGAGAGACAGAGGAGTATGGCAGCTGGCCCCCAGAATCCCACTGAACACAAGCCCCCCATGCCCAACCATGCGGCTCACGGATGAGGCCCTGAGTGGCTATGAAATGCTCTCCAGGCCTCTCTGTAGTCATTACCAATACTGTCCTGAGCACCGGCGACCTTCTCAACAAATGCACACAACCCAACAAGGCCAGTGTGACTTTCACCCTGAGTGCCCCCCCCCACCATCAACAATAAAGGATGCTGGAAAGTCAAGTCACCTGTTCAAGGTCACTCTTAGCAAGTGGCCTAAGATTCCTGTGCAGCAAAGACCTCTAGACCCTAGTCATACCCACCACACGGGGAGAGTCATACACGGGTGAGATGAAGATGTGGGACGCTTGGGTCACCACGAGAAATCTAGCACTCCCAACTCCTCACTTGGGAAGTTCACAGAAGCTACTCACTGGAACTGGCAGGATGACCTCGGAATTGCCAGCCAAGTCAGCGATATGGCGGTAGAGGGGTACCCCCTTCTCAACAGCTCCAGCCTTGCAGACAGCCAGCGACACACCCAGAATGGCATTCGCACCAAACTTAGCTGGAACAGGAGAGGAGAGTGCGATGAAGGCATTTCTTCCTCGCTGATCTCCCTCCTGCTAAGCCTCCTGCCCGCACCCCAGGCCGCGGTGCACCTTGGAGGGTATTCTGAACCCCTCCCCCTCTCATCATTATCTACTCCCCATGTTCACCCTAGGAATGCAAACAGTGTTCCATATAGACTCATCTTTTTTTAAGAGAAAGCCCTTTCCTTGGTCTCTGGAACTCTGGCAAATTCCACAAATTGCTTGATTATAAAGCACAAGGCCTTTCTGAGTAACCCGCACACACACTGTCACTCAGTTGTGCTCCTGATATTTGAAAATGTGATTTATTAAGGTGGGGCAAGGAAACCAGAAGAGACCACAGGTGGTCACACAGTTCCTCAACTGGGACAAGACTTCTCCCCAGAGGCTCACAAGGTCACCAGGACACAAGGCCACCTTCACCAGCAGTCCACCTCAGGCCACTCACATTTATTTTCCGTCCCGTCCATCTCAATCATCAGTTTGTCAATCTTCTCCTGTTCCACGACACTCAGCTTCTACAGGGAGAAGGGAGGACAAGCCACTGGGGAGGCAGCAGTGCCGCTGCGCGTGACCTCTGCTCTCCTGCCATGGAGCCGAGCAAACTTTGGAACTGTGCAAAGTCCCAATCAGCTCCGTGTCCTACATTTGTTTGGCTGGCAAAAAGGGGAAAACTCAAGAGAAAACGGGGAGACACAGAACTGCCTGGACTTGCTTTAAGTTTCAGGCATTTCCCTGAGCCCCAGGGAGCCAAAGGTGACATATCTAAGACATGGTCCTTGCATTACAGGGGCCAGTCTACTGAGGGAGTCCAAAGTTACACTATTCCAAAGACGACCACCTGGTACGTGCTCAGGAGGGTCTTGCCACAAAGCAGCATGACTCGTGGGGCAATAGATAACTGATGGAACTCATTGTTCACTCCGACAAGCCGCACCCTTCAGAGGTAAGTCACACTGCTACCACTCGTGGCTCTCCTCAGTGACGGCAAATTCCATCATCTGATGGGGGGAGACGATTTCTGTGGGTGTTCCCAAATCATGTAACGAAATGGTGACTGGTCAAAAAAAATGAGTATTTTTGGTGAGTGTGCAAAGTAGTAAACCGGTGCCTTAAAAACTGGCTCAAAGTGATTTAATAATTGGCATTACCTTAAAAAGTCACAAAAATCAATGACGTGTTATTTTATTTATAGTATTCTTTGTATAAAAACCAAACCATGATTAGCAGTCACCCCAGCAAACCACTGGTGGCCACCCCTCATTGAGAGAGACTGAGGCACGTTCACCCCAGAGGAAGGAACGTGTCCAGGAAAGCCCTGCTCATTGCATTCGTCCCCCAGGTCAGGGCACCAAGGCACCAAGGACGGGGTGGTGACAGTGCCTGGGAGACGGCACAGCAGCCATGAGAAACTTCGTCCGGGGATCAATTAGAGGGCCAAGCAGGCTGGGCCCCAGTAAGCGCTCTGGAGACAATCAGCGGAGGAGCCTGTGGGCCCCGGCGTGCAGGAGTTCCGGGAGGGGAGACTCCATCGAAGGAGAACAGGACAGGAGGCTGGGGCTGGGTTTCGGCCTTGAGACGGCTTCTCTAGCCAGGGGTTTTCAAATCCGTCCCGTCCGGGCCAGCGCCACAGTTACAGGAGGGCGGAAGGGAGGGTGAGACAAAGCTGTCGAGTAGGCTGCACCCATGGGTCCAGCCCTTCTTCACCAATAGCCACTCTCCTTTTATCTGTTAGACAAACTGAGGCTCCAAGTTTTATCTAGTAAGAGTTCCACTGTTTAAAAAACTCAGCAGAAATACAGTAATTCCAGAGTTCACAAAGAGTCAGTGTGTCCCATGGATACTACAGTCAAAACCCTTGAGAGCCACTCTTAAAATTTGGATCTTAACTTCCCTAAGTTCAAGATAGTTGGAGGGAAAAATCAAGGCTCTAAGACAGTCTCCTGTCCCTGTCATCCAATCCCATGCGTTGTTAGATGCGGACACACAGGCTGAGGGGGGGTTAGAAAAGGCAAAATTATCCTCATGCTTCACAGGGAATCCAATCGGCGTCTCTAGCTCTCAGAATAAGCTCTCCCATACACAGAAGGCCCCTGGCCTGGAAGACACTCTGGTGGCATCAACACATTAGTTATCAGAAGGCAGGTCCTACCTTGCTAATCAGGGCAGGTGCAATAGTTTTATTGATGTGCTCAACAGCCTTTGAGACACCTAGAAGGAACAATCAAATCAAATTACCGACATTAATGAAAAACAGGCTTGAGCAGCACTGCTGGAGATGAGCCCAGATATGCGGAAGCCCACCAAGAGCGTGATGGGACCTCCTTCAACCCCCCCTCTCTAGCCCTCAGAATCAAGGACTTTCTGGCCCAGTCTGAGTGCTCTTACCTAGGACCCCAAGGGTTAGAGCCACACACAGAACCACCGCCTCAGAAAACCTGCAGGGAGGTTAGTTGGCAAGACCATGCACTGGAAATGCCGGCTGCAGAAACTTAAGGATGTCCGATGCATTACCTGTGTGCACAAGGCTGGTGCCAGGAACTCATTAATATACTTAACAGGTCTGGAGACGCCTGACCAGCAGAGATGGACAGAGAAGGAAAAAGACAGACTCAGAAGAGCAGGCCATGGAGTTGGAGAGAGGAGAGAGGGGGGCAGGAGGGTTCTGCAGGGTCCAGGGGCTCACCCTCGTCACAGGTACGGCTCAGCTCTGCCTCAGGAGCACTGCCCAGGGCCGAGGGCCAGTGTGGGGCAGGGCCCTTGTGGAACTCCAGGCAAGACCGAAAACACTGCCCTCTACAGCATAACAGCTGACCGCAGGCCCAAGGTTTCCAACCTTATTTCACTGTTGCCCCCACCCCCATGGCGTTTTTAGATTTCCCTACTCACTCTCCCCTGAAAATGTCCTCATACAGATACTGTTTACACACTGGCCCTTTGCAGGGCCCCAAACCGTGGTTAAAACTGAGTTTTTTGCCTCCCCGCAAGAACTAGTTTCTGCCCCCAGAAGGGTGACTGCCCCTGTTGGGAATGCCTGGTCCACCCCACCTCATGTGGCTGCACAGGTTCCATCTATAGGAAGGTGGATAAAATTAAAGTTCCTGTGGCCAGGATTCTCACCTAGCCCTAGTTGGCCAGCTCACTACCCATGTGTGGGCAATAATACATTGCTATTGACTCTATATAAAGAGCTCTGCCCAGTGCTCTGGGCAACATGGTGGCATGGCTGTAAGGCTGCAGGAGAGCAGAGCAGAGGCTGGAGTGGTGGCAGCACCGAGGACAGAGCCAGAGAACGGCTGTGCAGGCAGAGAGGCCCAGAGGCAGAGAGACCAGCTTGCTGCATACAGACTTGCTCTGAGTGAACAGGATTCTAGTGATTGACCTGCCACCATGGAAATAAAGTTGAGTATAACCCTTTCACTCCAAGAAAGTTCTACTGTCTTTTCTTTGGTCACATTGAATCCATAGTGAATTTGCCCGGGGCTGAAACCCATTGGCAAGACAGTTGCAAACACAAACAAGTTTATCTGCAGATAGCTCACCAGAGATTGACTCTGCCACAGTGGTGCTTCTGTGAATCCATCAACAGAAAGATCAAACTAAGACTAACCTGTAGGTCACCATTCATAGTGAGCCATTAGCTAGACCTTCTAGATACTTTCCTTCTCTGAAACCAGGCCCTTGAAGAGAGCTGATGGCTTCAAAGACCCACAGGGCCATCCTGGGAGAATGGCAAAGCTTTTTGTTAGTTTAGTAACATGTGTTCTTATCCTTAGAGCCCTGGCCTGAGGAGTTTTTCACAGATCGGAGACAAACCAGAATATAAGTATTAAAACTCCTGCCCCGGAGTTTACAGGCTTAGGAACACTCGGCTCAATAAGCCAACAATCCCACGTGGGGGGTCCATGAGCACCAGCAACACTGTGGGCCAAACCAGGCGTCTGCCTCCCTCAGGTACAGATCCCAAGGAGGGAGGGAGGCTGGCTGCGCCAGGCCAGGAGCAGGGAAGGAGGCGTGGCAGACATGTTGCGACCACGCTCTGGACGCAGGTGCAGGTCCCAACCCTTACCTTTCCCCATGTAGCGAGTCTTATCATTGTCCCGGAGCTCCAGGGCCTCGTAGATGCCAGTTGAGGCACCACTGGGCACAGCAGCTCTGAAGAGACCTAGATGTCGAGGGAGGGAGGGGAAAAATCAGTAACGATTAGGAAACAGTTACAGCCCTTGCCCCAGGACAGCCCGCTCACAGATGGCATTGCCATTAGGAAACAATCACTTCCTTCCAGCAACTGGGAGGTTCAGATGGTCTGTCTTCCTGCCTCTCACATTTTTATGATTCTGCAATGCAGAACCTACAGCAAAGCTGGTGAACTTCTCTAGTTTAAAAAAAAGGCTCTATAGCAGAGCTCAAATTGTTATGTGTACACACATTACCTGGAGATCTTGTTAAAATGCAGATCCCCCAATGGGGGTAGGTGGGGGGCGTTTAACAAGCTCCCCGTTGGTGCCCTGCATCTGGCCTGCTGAACTACCCACTACCCTCCCAGCAGTGCTGCTCCACAGAAGTACAGTGTAAGTCACTTAGGGGACTTAGGATGTTCTAAGAGCTACGCTGAAGATAAAACAGTAAAAACAGGTATCTTATTTAACCCAATATATAAAAATATTATCATTTTAACGTGTAATCAATTACAACACTATTTCAGACAGTCCAGCTCTAAAGCACTGTTGCTAAGTTACCCTTAGGAAACCGAGATCATCCAAGTTTTGGCTCAAGAGGAATTTCTACAGCTTGTATGTTTCAGTTTAGGCAGTGGTAAACATGCTGTTTTGAGGGTTCTCTGCATAATAGGAAGCCAGGAGACAGGATAGATTGGGTGAAGAAAGGAATAAAGACAATACAGGTGCAGTTTAATAACACTAAAACACAACTAAGCATCGCACCAGGCAGTCTACAGATATAAAAACCAGCCATATGGCTAAATCTATACTGTGAAACATAAAGTAAATGGCGAATCTTAGACAAGGGCAGTGTCAAGAAAGGAACTGCAGAGATCTGGTTACACAGGGCAGATGGGGTTAGGGGAGCAGGAAGTGTAGGCAGCCTCCTGAATCTATTTTAAACTGTAAGGAATTTCCCCATCTGTGGGTGTGAAGAACTAGTGGGTGTGGGGAGGTGAAGGGAAAAACCCAACCAAGTATTTTAAATGGTCTACCAGTAGGCCTGCATCTGCGTCACTGCAGGGACTGAGCAGGCGTCAGGACCCACGTGCCTGTCGCAGGCCCTGGACTAGCTGCAGACCCGAAGACAGCAAGAGCAGTCCTCGTGTAAACTAGGACACTGGGTGGTGATGGGCTGATGCTGGCTGGACAGTCACAAATGACCCACGCTGGGGGGAAGCTGTGCATGTGTGGAGGAAGTGGGAACTCTAACTTTTGTTTAGTTTTGCTGTGAATCTAAAACTGGTCTAAGAAATAAATTCTAAGAAAGAACTAATAAAAGGCTCCCAACAAATCCATGATTTCCTGTTTTCTGAAACAGATTTGAGCACGAGAGAAGGTTCCATTTGCTTAAATTTTGCAAAATATTTAGTCATTTAAAATTGTTTTAAAGAAATGCCCCCTCCCAACAACTTTCTGGTTAGTGTTCTCAGACCTTTTTTCATCGTTTGAAGTTCATTTAATTTCCAAGTGGAAAAGGTTCACCCTCTAAGTAAGCTGATCTCGTGAGATGAAATTCTCAGCATCTTCTGATAACCCAAGGTATTAGCCATAAGGCCCAGGCTCAGAAGCAACCCAGCTCAGAGAGCACCCGTCATGGCAAGTAACCACAGGCAGAACTCTGAGACTTCTGCAAACCAAGGGGCCTTCTTTTCCTGGGCAAGGGGGAGGGGAGGGCAGGAAGGGAAGGGCTGCAGGTTCCTGTGCCAAGCCTGTGATTCAGATCCTGACTCAGCTCTGACCAGCAGGCCTGTGAGCCCCGCACCACTGCCTGAAGCAACTTTTCCAACCTCACCCACTAGGTCCATTTAGAAAATAGCTGAGACATTGCTGGAACCAACACAGGGCTACAGGCGCACCAGATTTTTGTTAAGTAATAAAAGCGGGGAGTTATAAGTCCCCATTCTATTCTTCCACGTGGGCAAACTCCTCCTAGGGGGATGTAAAACCAGGTAAAAATAACAGCCTCTGAAATGTCCCAACACCCCGAAATAAAAACTGTCCGACCCTTGGTTTAGAGTCATTTCTGGAAACGAAGACATGAGCGCTGCTCACGCACTCACACTCCCCTTATCTCCTTCCTTTCTAGGGGAGGCAGAGCTATCCTCTCTATCACACCCCATCTGCTTATGTGGCCACAGCAAGGTGTGAAGCACAGGCGTGACGGGCCCTCCCCTACCTCACTGACCGGAGGCAAGCTGTTTTCTGTTTTAAATATCAAGAAGCATAAAGACAAGGACTCCAAGCCTTGCGACCCCCCACCTCCCTACTCTGGGGAAGGAACCACTGCCTGTTTGCACATGCAGACCAGAAAGGCTTTTTTAATAATGGACGTTTTCATGTCTGAGGCTCTGTCGTCATAAGTTTTAGAAGTTGGAGTGTGACAGAAGGAACTACAGAAGCAAATGTGGCACATACCTTTGCTGGTGTAGAGGTCCACCTCAACAGTGGGATTCCCACGAGAGTCGAATATCTCTCTGGCATGGACCTTGAGGATAGACATGGTGACTCTGCGGGGAAAGAGTTCATACATGTTTTCCAGCAACCACAATGCAGCCTTGGCCCATTCATTCAAGGGATCGCTCCTCAAGATCCCGAGGCTAGGAAGAACCTGCACCGGACCTACTGGATGTAGGAAGGCTGCCGAGAGAGAAAGCCCGCCGGAAAGCAGTGAGAGCTGTTCCTACAGAAGCAGGTTGGGCCTAGCCCTTCAAGGCCTCAAACCCTAGTACCTCAGGTCTTGTCCCATAAACACAGAAAGCCTGAAAATGTGTGTGCCAGGGAGAGACCAAATCCAAAAAGAAAAATTTGCTCGTATGAAGAATGGCTGAAGAGGCAGACTGACACCTGCTATCATGTTACCAACGAGGGTTGGCATGGGAATGAAAAGGAACTAAGTCAGGACCAAGGGGACACGGAAGTCACAAGCAAACCCATCTAAGACCAAAGCGGGTAAGGGGCCCAGAAGGAAACCAGGACGCAGGCCTGGTTTGCAGTGAAAAGTGAATTGTAAGCTGGGGGCATCATCTAGTTAAACTTGGGGCAGCAGTAGGATGTAAACTAGTAGCTATTGGATACTCAGGATTTTGAGTATGGTGGCCAGGTATGATCTCCGTGGTCTGTGCACTGTGATCTCTGCTGCTGCCTATTTCTGGGCCTTTCAAATTTCAGAGTACTTGAGTCATTAGCAAGACAGGACATGCCAGTAATGACATTTAACTTGTATTTATTTCAATGGGCATTTTACTCCATTAAAAAACTCAATTATGCGATTCCATAATTTATAACTATCTTTGAACACTAGGGTACTCCAAGGGAAGAAGCTTCTTTTGAAAACCCTTAAAAAAAAAAAAGAAAAGAAAAAGATGACGACCTGTAGCTACATACAGCAAGTCCTCAAAGAAAGCCCCTTTCTCACTTCCCACTCCCCTCAGAGACTAAGGAAGAAACTAACCGCGCAATTTGTAAGGCTGAAGTGGATGAGAGGAATCGAATTAGTGTTCAGGAGCCATTATCTACCCGGGCTCCCCGCCAATATCTTTTCTGGAATGTTCTCAAGCAGCAAATTTTTTTTTTTTTTTTTAAGTTTCAAAATTAGATACTGAAGTCACTTCTGTGGCTTTGTTATCTATGTAACAATGGAGTTTCATTCATTAGCCAGCAAAAAGATATCTAGTTTTTATCTACTATCTTACAAAAAAAGCAAATCTGTTTAAATCTACTTTTTAGTTTAAAAATTTTGGGGTTTTGGCAAATAACACGCTTGTGCAGTATTTCCATCACCCCAAAAGGCCCCTCAGGCTGTTACCCACCAAAACCCCTACCCCCAGGCCACAACGACTTACTTTACCAATTTGAGATGCACTTTGAAATACCTTCATTATGCTACTTCAGCATAGTTGTAAAATCTCGTTTTTTGTTTGGTTTCGGTGACGTAAGACAATTTAATCAACTTATTTCATGACGTGAAAATAAAATTCGACTTATTGTTAAACTGCATAGAAAAACTGTTGTCCGTGGTCATTAAGGCTCAGGGAACACAGACAAGGAGGAAAGTTGGTCTGACTGGGAGGCTTCAGTTTCTTTTCTGTCTGGACAGACCCACTGGCCGGGGGCAGCGAGAGTGGACCAGGCAGTCTGGGCCCACGTGTGCCCCGGGGGCAAGTCAAGCCCGGGACCACACTGCCCAGAGAAGACCACATTGCAGGGAAGCTAAGAATATTGTTTTCTTAAAGTACATCCTTTTTATTCTGGACCAGGGGCCGGCTACTAGTGGCCAGCCCGGGGAGCCCGGAGCAGAGAGCGCCTGACTTGGGCGAAGAGGCCCGGAGGGATTTCCCAATTACCTAACGGCAAGGCTGCAGCCTGCTCAAAAATAAGCCCCTCCTTAAACTGTATTAGTCGCTTCTCACTCCGTAGCTGCCGAGCAGCAAGCTGAGAGCCCCCCTCCCCAACACCCCCCTCACGTGAAGCAGGGGCTGATGGTGGGGGCGGGGGAATCGCGGCTTCCTGGGCATCTGCCCATTCCCTGCCCCCTCCTCCATTTGGGAAGAGCACCCAGGGTTAGGCCCGCGTCTCCCCTCCAGCCTTTCCCTCTCAACGCCTGAGGTCATACACGGCCCGCGGCTCTACTGCTGACCACCCAGTGCAGTTAGGCGGCCCCGCAACTCCGGAATCACCCGCTGATCCGCACCTCGCACGCGTCGACCCGCCCTTCCACGTCCCTGCCTGACCCGGGGCACGCAGTCAGACGGGCCGGAGTCCTGCAAGCCTGAGAGGCTCGCATGCCGCCCACCTGGGCGTCTGCTCCGCAGCCACCCCCAGATTCCTTACCGCGCCAACGGATGTCCCCGCCCGGGAAAGAAGCACAGGGTGCTGCAAACACAGAGGGCAAGCGAGGAGCTATGAGGTCCGGGAGCTCCGAGTACCACGAGCTGGTCTCCCCGCAGCCGGCCCCAGCTTCCTACCCAGTTCCGGTGGCCACGCCCACTTCCCCGCCCGGGCCCGCCCCCTCCCGGGCCCATTCGCCATTGGCCCGGTGCGCCGTCACTCGGGTCCTCGCCTCCGGGGCGGGGCGGGGCTGCAACCTCCGCAGCCAATGTGCCCGGGACTGGGGTGCGACCACCTGGGGAGGTGGGGCGCGGGGTTGGGTGATCCGGACTTTCCCGCGGTCGTGTGAGAGCATGGATGAGCCCGCGCCCCCGCAGTACTTCGCTCTCCCCGGTGCTGGGACCCCTGGCCGAAAGGGGGCTGTGGCGGCTGGTCCCCAGGGAAGGGGCGGAGCCGGGCGGGGCGGGGCGACGCGGCCGGCATGAGGGCTCCGTGCCCCGGCACGTACTCCGAGTCCCGCACGCCTGCAGCGTCTCCGGCGCCTCACGTCAGGCCCATGACCTTGCTGACGATCTCGCGGCCCGCCCTTTCCGGCCCACCCCGTCCCACAGCGTGGTGCCGGAGACCCCGTACGGCTAGCGACGTTGGCGGCCGCCCACGCGCCCCGGTTCCGCACCTGGACTAGGGATGCGCGGGACCGCAGAGCCGCGTGCTGGGGGCCACGTGCGCCCGTTCGCGCCTGCGCGCTACGTCCCTCGCCACACCCAGCCTCTCCGCGCCCTAGAGCCGCCGGTCAAGGCGATCGCGTCCTTTCGTCCTTGGGCGTCCTGGCCGAGGTGGCTGGAAGGACGTGCACGCTCCGTTAATTACAGCTGATACTTTTTGAGCGCTGCCTAAGGACCACGCACGTCTCCACGGGCGTACCCAGCGGTAATTCATTACCCCTTAAGTGTTGGGGAGAATTGTTAATGTTGCATTTTAAAAAGGAGACTTCATGTCCCTCCCTTACCCACCTGGGTAAATCAGATCTGTCGGCATTCATGTGAACCGTACACGTAGTGATTTGGGACTGGAATTTCACCCAGACGGGAGGATTTCTCAAAGTTCATTACAGGTAATGTTCCACAGTAGTCAGAGTGGGCGCAGTAATTTCTACCTTTCTGATCAAGAAAAACGGATACCCGTTTTGCATCATGTGCCCGCCCTTCAAGGGAGGATTGGAGGCGAGCATTGCCTTCTATTGTAGTCGTATTCTTAGCATTCCTCCTGCTCTGTAAATCTGAGAGCTAAACCAGTGTCATCAACATATTTTCCATGTCTTACATGGATTCCAATGTATTTGCCTTAATAATTATTCCTTCTGGTCAGCTTCAAAACTGCTTTTCTTCCTTAACACCTAGTATTTTTTATATCTGCGGAGCTACTGGCTTAAGTTTCTAAGCCAGGATAAGTTAAGTTACCCATTTTCCAGTGACTAAGCAGCAAAAATTTAAGACTAAATTCAGCAAAAATGCAACAAGGAAATTGTAAAATCCTAAATAATTTAAGTGGATTTTGCAAGCAGAGTTTGTGATTTCACCAGCAAACTGGTGGTTTAGACTGCTTACAACCAAGATCCCAGCCCCATGACTCAGCAGCAAAATCAACAGCCAGCATCTCTCAAGTCCCCTAACTCTAAGAAAATTAGACACTTAGCTCTTATATTCAGAGTAATTCTAAGGCGTGGCCCTGAAAAGGTTCCAAAACAATCTCTTATTTTACACTAAAGTGGTTAGAGAGATTAAAGATAGCAAGACATGGCTCTTATAACTGCTCTCTGGCCAGAACCAGTGAATCTAGCAGGAAATCAAATGCAGAACCTGATCTCAGCTGCTGTTGCAAGATTCTTGGAGGCCACAGCATAGCATTCGGAGCCAGCACTTGGGACTCTTAATTGTAGCTCAAATGTTAAGGGTTGGTAGAGAAGCCCTCAAACCTTTTCTAAAATCCACAGGCTGCCAAATGCCCTCCCTGTCTCCAAGGCTCTTAAGACTTTTTTAGCAGGCCCTGGGGCTCACATTTGCCTCAGTCCAATCCATTTACCTTGTTTACAGGCATTTAGTTATTACTTATCCCTGGCAGTATGCTTGTTGAGCAATTTTATGACAGTGGCATACCAAGGGCAGGTTGTCAGACAGGTGAAATGAATGTCCAGTCTGTTACCAGATCACCCTGGGAAGCACTGCAGGCATATTTGCAGAACACTTGCCAGTGGACACCAGGGCTGAGTGAAGGTCAGTCCACAACAGCCTATGACCCACTCACCTGGGCTACTGATTCTACCTTTCGTACATATGTGCACCCCTGGTTAAAAACTGATGGTTGCCTGAAAAAGTGACATACCTCTTTTGGAAGGGGGGTCTCTAGCCAGACAGGAAACTTCAGGGTTGGATAAGGAGCCCAAGGAAGGTGAAAAATCAGATGAGAGCAGAGAGCCCTCTAGGGTTCTAGGTGGATGGCCCTGCATTTAAATAGACTGAGGGTTTTGGGTTTATCACAAAATATTTCACATATACCAAAGACTACATAAAGTGTATCTGCTGTAGAGAATAATGAAAATGTACCCACTACTAGCTTAAGAAATGGGAAATCAGCAATGCCATTAAGGTCACTATGTGTTCTCTGGCCTTAGAGGAGCCACTGTCCTAAATTTTGTGTTATTTCCTTGCTTTGCTTTATGGTTTTGAAATAATTTTTTTGAACTTTGTATTAATGGCATCATACATTTTGTAATCTTTGGCTACATTTTTTTTGCTCAACTTGACAAGTGTGAGCTCCAGCCTTGTAGCTGTAGATGGCTCATTTTCTGTGCAGTATAGTATTCCATTGTGTGGATATCCTTGCCTTTTCCTTTCAGTGTACATTTGTTACTTCCTGGTTTCTCCATGTTAATACCAGTAGTGCTGCTATAAGCTTTGTTGCAGATGTCTCCTGAGCACAAGGGTGGGAGTGTCTCTAGGAACTGTACCTAGGACTAGGACATAACACCTAGACATGGAATTCCTGGGTTACAGATATAAGCACCTTCAACTCTGTTTTCCAAAGTACTTGTATTTCTATGCACTTCCAACAGCAGTGGAGCATATATATATGACCCAACATGAAAAACAAATAATCTTTCTTTGCAACTTTTTCTAGAAATTCGATTTATTTTCAATTTACTATCCTTTTCAAGTCCCTTACTTAAACCCACATGTCCCCTCTGTAAATTGCAGTTGGCATTCTACCCTTATGATGCCTCGGAGGGCACCTCTTAGGGCTTGTAGCTGTCAACAGCCTCCGCTCCTGCCTTCCTCAAAGCTGACTTCAGGAGTCATCTGTAGGAAGTAGGAGTTGGGCAAGGCGTACGTTTGGGAAGACGGAAGGAAGAGCACACTATGGCTTTTAAATAAGTCATTGCTAGGAAAGCATTTATCTAGGGGTGCCCAAGTGAGGGGAGGAAGGAGGATAGAGCTTAAAGAAAAAAATTCCAGGGGAGTCAGGGGAGCAAGGAGTGAACACCCAGTGAGCAGAGTTCCACGGGGAGGAGCTAATAAAGGCAGTGGTAGTGGGGGTGGTGTGGGCAAGTGGAGACTGAGAGGGGCTCAGGACCAGCAAGAGAAAACCAGTCTAAAGGGGGTATCAGAGGGAAGTGTCTCTATCTTGGTATCAAAGAGCTCTGCATGGATCCTCTGGGCCTCAAGTCTTTTATCTTTGAAATGGGTGCAATAATACCAACCTAGGGAGGGTGGCTCTTACCATCAGCTTGGGACTCATGCTCACTCATGCTCACTCATTACTCACTGCTTGAATGGCCTGCAAGGCCCTGATAGCTCCACATAGCTGTAGTTGGTCCCTGGGGCAATTTCCTTTTCATCTCTATCTGCTGCCACCTCTTTTGTCAGTTCTTAAGGTTGTCGCTTGAAGGCAGGCCTAGGGCAGCAGCTGTCTTGGGACTGAGGTGTTCTGAGTGTATGGATGGCCAACAGAGGTCTCCTGTCAGCCATGCTGGCAGCATTCCTGGAAGTAGGAGTACAGGACCATCAGGTGGGCCAGTCTAAACTGCCAGTAACCACAAAGGAAAGAGGTCAGTCGACAGTGTGTCTCCGAATGGAAAAGCATGGCTCTGCCATGCCACCAGGACAATAACCACATCAGATTTACCTGTAGCAGCTTCCTCTTGGAGAAACACAACTGATGAAGGCTTCATATCTGCTAGATACTGTAGAGATACTGCAATTCTATAACAAGCTTGTAGCTAGAAGGAGAACACAGCTTGCAAAGTCAGAGCAACAGTTACATTGTATGGCAACTCGAGTTCCAATTACAAACTGTCTCCAGCCCCAGGCTCATGGGTTCATCTGTTGGCACTTCCTAAAGAAAAGGGTAGAAATTCTGCTTCTCTACAAGCTCCCTTGGAGCAAGATTCCAGGGCCTCCTACACTGGAACTCCTTAACTAACCTCGTTTCTTATTTGTTTGTCACCTCAGGGTCAGGAAGTTGCCCAGGAGAGAATGGGTTTCAGCACAGGGTTTGTCAGGATATTCCTGTGGCTGGAAGAGCCATGCAGAGAGTAGATTTATGATTGGCTGAATGAGGCTCCTAAGCTGCTGATCTTAAATGGAAGACTTGCTCCTAGATGAGGGCATGCTGCTAAAAATTCAGATTGTGGCAACTGGTGGCGCAGCTGCTCCAGTGAGTGGCTGACTCAGGATTTGCACCAGACAGGTCCAGCAAGGTGCCGAGCTGCTAAATTGCCCCTTTTGGAGGAGCTTCTGAGTGTCTGCCACAACCATGGCACCTGTGGAAGGATTTTTAGACTTGGCAGGCCTTTCCTGTCTGAATGCAGCCAAGTGAATCAAGTATCAAGGACCAACCTGTGGGCAGTGAGGTGTCCTGGCCTGAAAGCATGCCCAGTAGGAGCATGTCACAATGGACTGTGGGTGACTGGCTGGCCAAGTTTGGATTCAGGACCTACAAAGAAAATGATCTCTTGGTAGAAAAATGTGGATGTAGATGTAGAAACACATAGAACCAGCTATAAGCAGAAGCCACAGGCCAGAAAGTCCCTGAAGAAACAGACTCCAGGAGGTGGCAGGAAGAAGTAGGGGACAGCCCAGCAGAACTGCTTGGAGATGGAGATGCAG